TCGTAAGTTATTTATAGACATTAAAAATATCTACCAATCAAATCTATCGTCATATAATTTTTAATAATCACCAAATACTACCTATGAATAAAGAATAATTCTAATTGGTATGAAAGTTACGTACGTACGTTAAAAATTATTATTTTAACGCAGCAAAGGATATGAAACGTTTAATGAAAACGCAAATAGAATGCCAAGCATGGGATTTTATTTTTATCAATGCCATTAATTGGCCAAAAATCTGAAATAAAAAACATCATGATACATTCGTGCTAAGACTTTAATTAATTTTTTCTTAAACCCGCACTTTCTTTACAATTGTTCAGGATCCGTCTCAAAGTTATCTGAATTATTAAATAAAATCGCACGACCCAAACTATTTGGAACGTCCCAAACCACGTGACAATTGGTACATTTATTGCCGAAACTATGTGATACTAATTATCTCAAGGTTTGGGACGTCCCAAATAACTATCCAGGACATCTTCATTTGCAAATTTCGAATGATTGCCATCAGTAACCTCAAGAATTTGGTTTGTCTCAGTGATCAGGACCTGATTCATATGAGAAAGAATGATATCAATTATTCAAAGTGTGAAAACCAGAAACTTTAGTAGTATCACTTTGAATTGAAGGAGACACCAGCTTTACAATCAATTCGTTATATATTCTATTACCGATAGATTACTCATATCTGACTTAAGGAAACTAGAAATGAATCAACTTCTAATGAAAAACTATTCGCTCAATGATTTTTTTCATTCTTATAAGGACAGATGTTTCGAATTTAAGCAACATAATAATAATTCATAAAAATTCGAGCATAACATTTTCATACCTATCATGTTTCCACAGCCCGATTGTATTTCAGTGTCTTTTTCACTAGAAGTTCATAATCTCTATCACTGGCAATTAGAACAAAAACAACAGGATCACTGGACATAATTGTTTTCTGGGTATTACAAGTTATGTATCGACTTTCTTTTCATAGTAACTTTTTGAAAATATACTGTGTCCACGTCCACGTTAATGACTGCACGATTTTAAGGATTATTGAATAGAATCATGGAACAGAATATAATCATACTGAGTTTTATTATGAGCATTATTGGCAAAATTTAATTTCAAATCAGCTTTCCATTAACACCAAAAATGTGACCATCATGGCGATAATTAGCATTATCCGGAAAGTTTGGAATTGAAATAAAGTCTTTAATCATTGAGATATTTTATAATTTTCCTACCCAGGATGCAGCCCTAATATCTCTTGACATCCTGTTTAATTATTTTAAATGAGTTCTGGATGAACTCGGACTTAAAGTCCACCATAGCTGGCCAAATTGGTTGCCTGGATTTTTCTAACACCATAGTAAAAATAGCGGAGGACTGCGCAAAAACTGTGAACTTATTAGTTGTCTTTTAATACATTAATTCTAATGTGTTAATTTTACTGTTCATAAAAATTTTTTTAATACCTACATTCTCTTATTGCGCAATTTATAGAATCTATTTCGTCAATTATTTTTGAGATTGGAGAGTTTATTCAAGCAGTGCTCTTAGATTGCATAACATCACAAAATCTACATCGGCCTCATTTGCACTTGATAGATATTCGCCATATAATTTGATCGAGTCCACAGTGAATCGCTAGGAGGTGACTAAGAACTGACCAAGGATAGTACACCACCTATTTAGTTTATATCCGCATTAACGTTAAACTACGATGATAAGCCTATTATATATCTGACATTATGGCTTGGTATGCTTTGTGTAATTCCATTAAATGTGTCTTATACACATAGCCACTCAACTAAAAAGTCCTGTATAAAATTTTGAATATCTTCTGATATCTAAACTTTTGAAGTTTCCAACGGTACTTTCCTTCAACCCAAATATTCGAATTATCAAAAATGTATACAAGTTTAGTAGATGCCTATCCATTATAAAAGTTCTCAAAATTTTCTTAACTGAATGATTCTTACTGTTTAACCAATACGATAAAGATCACCTTTTTTTTATAGAAAATTTTCACCAACGATCTTTGAGAGGAATTGAACTCAAAATACTTGGTGTAAGGAATGTTTGTTTTCTTTAATGTACATATTGGTATAATGTATTAGTTAATGTTTCTACAAAAAATTGATCATTATTTGTAAGATATAAATTTTCAGACTAAGAAACCAACAAATTGCGCAGGTGCCCACTCTTTGGGTTTTTTAACTGAAGGAAAAGGTTTTACGGACCTAGTATAGTGTCATTATTAAATTGCTTGTTTAACGCGTTTGACGTGTTTGGCGTTGCAGGCATTTGAGGAGTTTGTGATTAGGTAAATTTGTTAACCAATAACCGTTCTTTCTGATCAAACCTTTGTTCATGCTAGTTCGATTACCATATATGAGAAAACGCATCTGGAATTTTAATCCGTTTCTTAGATATGAGTGCTGTAATCGAATTCTTGATTTCCGAAATTTCACTTTCGAAACGGGCCGATCAGATCCCTGATGAATTACAGTAAACAATAAATCAATTTAATAAATCATGTGTTTGATAGCCTGTTCTTTAAAACGGAGTACAATCCCAGGTTTTCCCTTGGCAGCACTCATATAATGGTGAAAAGCAGAATGCCGCAGAGATCACGGGAATCAGGTTTTAAATACGGAGATAGCACGGAAATATTATTACGGAAAGTAGGAGTGGATGTAGGGATTTTCCATATAATTTTCTACAGGTACGTACGTACGTACACAATCCTAAAACCAAAACTTCCGAAAAGGTCTTACACCGAGGGCGTGGAAAATAATTATTCCTTGTCACACGAATTGTTTCTCACTTATTAGTGTTACACGTGGCGCTATACGTAGCAAGCGCGATTTTCTTCAATTTTTTTCTAGATTAACGATACATATACTCATTACTTATTATGCTCACTTCATCTTAATGGTTCTCGCCAACAATCTACATCTAGCAAACGCTAAGCCAACCCTAACGAAATTTAATCACTTTCACTACTGCTTAACTTTAGTATTTCTTAATGATATTCATCTTCACTTTCTTTTCCCACGTAAAGATAAAGTGTTAAGTACCGATAAGCAAAATTTTCCAAAATGTAGTTCACATCGTCCTGCACCCTTTGTTCATTTCATGATGCAATAATTACAGCGTACATGTTTCTTATTAAGCGATTTACAAGTTCCAGTTTAATAAAATGATCCCCACATTTAATTTTTTTTTTTTTTTTTTTTTTTTTTTTGTGGCATAATAATTTAAAGAACTATGAAACAAATGGTTATTTATTTATTTACCTATAAATTAGAATTTAATATACTTAATATATACATACATATATAGTACAAAAGGAATTTAGCCTACTTAATTTTTTTAACTAAACATTTTGCGTTTGATAAAGACTGATCATGATTTTCTTTTGAGCGAGGATGATACATAACAGCAACTTGTGTAATGAGCAAATCTCTGGATATAATAGCTTTATTTTTTAAATTGAGAAAATAAAGATTTTAGCGTCTAAACTATTAATATCATACCAGCAAATCATGTTAATTTTACGTATCTAAATTTCATAATTACAAAATTAACTCAAAATATAATCATACATTTTTGGAAAGAAGACAACACGATTAACATTTCCTTTTAAGCATAAGCTTTTTTTATAATTATATTTTTGACATTATATATATAACAATAAGATTATCGTTTAAATGTTATGTTAATGCATGTATGATTAATAGAATAAAAAAAATTTTGACACTAACTAAATTTTATAAAGCGATACAAATATGTAATTTTTACAGGTCTCCATCAAAATTATCTAGTCTAATTTGTAACTATCCAAATCACGACCAAACTAACACTAACCTTCAACGAGATTACCAAAAACACGATGAAACGTTTTATATAACAGTTAATACACGAACGTAACATAATAGTATGTACAATACGCAACGAACGAATCGACTAAAAGCGCGAGTGTTCAATGTGGTGTAACATTTAACGAAGAATGGAACTATTATTACATATCTTTACGTTGCATACGTTCCTTACGTATATATTATGCGCGTACTTACGTAAGAATACTAATCATTCAAATTATTGAATAAAATGAATTTCTCAATATAATAATAACGATAATAATCTTTCATTTTTTATTTCCAATTATATAAAAATCAGGTTAAAAAAAAACCGATATTCTGTTTTTAAGTTATTGTTCATAATTTGTTGAACGTTACCGCTATTCAAAATTCGCACGGGCGTTTCTGTACTGCTTAACTTTAAAACTAAAGGAATTTTCAAAAAGATTTTTTTGAAGGTAAGTAAAAAAAATATATGCTTGTTAATCTCCCGCTCACCATTTCACATACAGCCGAAACGTGTTACAAAATTTTCGCCATAATTATTTTACACAACACGATTTTTGCTCTCATCAATGGGAACATATAACATCATGCATAACCGTTTTTTTTTTCTTTTTTTACAAAGTAACATATGAAAGATCTATTCTGCATTTCTCTGCTAGATAAAGGTATGAAACGTCATAAGCATTTGAAAAAAAAGATCAAAATCTATCTGTTTTATCTGTTTATTAAAGCTAAAACTGTGGTATCTATGTGCATTTGTCAAACGTGTGGCCGTGAAAAAAAAAAATAAACAAAACGGGCAATATCCATAGTTGTACTTAGTTGTGAACAACTTATAAGTAAATAAAATTAGAGTTTTGTCAATTTAATGTAAGGGGAATTGCTCTTTTGACACTTCCCAAAAATTTAAAAAAAAAATTTTTTTGCCATTATTTTATTATCTATAAAGGTTGACAGCTTTATAGAAAAACTACCACTTTTGCTATCTTGCAAAATTTTGGTATCCATAATATATAATATAATATAATAAGATTATACGTATAATAATAATAATAATAATATATAATTATATATAATTATAATTATAGAACCTTCCTTCATATATACCTAAAAAAAAAAATAAAAACAATGACATCATCCGTTGAAGTTATCCAATATCAAGAAGCCACCACCACCAAATTTCTCAAAGATGGTCTTTATCCTCATGCTGAAGAAATTGACAATGAAAACCAATCGGTTTCATCAGGTTCTTCGGAGCACCTACAAAATAATAACTACACCTTATCATCTATTGATGAAAAAAAGAATGGCGCTGTAACATTTTCTGACGAACGTCAATTAACCGAAGAAAAAGAAAAGTCTCACCAGGAACCTAAAAAAACTAATAGTCTCCTTCGCAGATTGAAAAAGGATGGAAAGCATACAGAACCTGAAAAGACTGCTCAAGAAGAGAAAAAATCTGAAGGCCTTGTTCGTACAATATCGGGAATGTTTACTCACAAGTCAAAATCCGAAAAAGAGAAACGCAAGGATGATGCGGATAATCATAAAACTCGTCCTTCTCTTAAAACTTCCAATGATAATGGTGAAACAAAGTCTAGAAATAGACGTAGTTTCATTTTTTTCTCGGATAACGAAGATGAAGTCATGGAACAACAAGTTAGAAAAAACAAAAAAGCAAATAGTAGTGATATTTCGAATTCAGACAATGAAGACGGAAAATCAAAAAATATTAAACATAAACACAGGCTTAGTTTAAATCTTGATAGATTCTTAAGACATGATGATAATAAGCATAAAAACTTCAACAATAATGATATAACTGATATGTTCCTTCCGGAAACCAATGATTCAACAATTAGAACTTACAAAGGACGTCTTGATTCCTCCGGTTCAAATCGAACACCGACTGCAACAGTATTAGATTCTTCTCATCAAACTGAATCACCAATCTTGCACACGGTACCAAGTACTCCTAATGGTGTTGTTAATTCCACCGGTATGATTAATGAATCAGTTCGTGAAGATTTCCCAGAAGTTAAAGTTGGATCTATTGAAGAGCGATCAGACGAGTTTAAGGATGAAATTGGTTACTCGTCCGCTAATTCAGTTAATGAAGTTCGATCTATCAACGAGCAACAACAAAAGTCGAGACCAATTTCACAAGTCTCGTCTAGCAGTCTCAATTCAGAAAAAAATGAAGATCATTATAATAATCAAGCTGAAGCCGAAGTTAATGATGATTCTAAATCTGACAGAAATGTTAATGATGAGATTACCGATGACATAAAATCTCCAATTAATATTAATGTAACTACTATTTTTTCACACCACCAAGAAGAACCGTCTACGGTGACTACCGCACCACAAACTCCACCAAAATTCCCAGCGACACCTGGATTCGTTGGGGAAGAAATTAAACATGTTTATGTAAGCCATAATATTGAACAAGATCGTGAATTTGAAAATAACGTAGTCCACGTTGAAGAAACTTCTCAGATTTTGCCACCAATTTCACAAGTTAATGAGAAACAAATTGATATCACTCGAGAAACCCCTCAAATTCGTCAAAAGGTAAATATATAATACGATTTAATAATTTATATATATATGTGTATAATATATTTTTTTTAATAATATTCTATAATTTATAGCTTGAAGAATTCCAAACCACAAATGAGTCTTTAATCAACGTCAGAAAACAGTTAGAATCATTCAAAGCTACAAACGAATCTTTGAACAATATTAAAAATCAATTAGAATCCAAAATTGATGAACAATCACAACAGAATTCTAAATTATCTTCGTTGGAGTCAATAATGACTCGTCAACTAGAGATGTCCCAAAGAATGGAAGAAACCATGAGAAGATTGGAAACTAAAGTTAGTCAACAAAAAGAAGAATTAGATGGTTTATTGGCTGGTCGTATGGAAGATACTGTTCGAAGATTAGAATATAAACTTGACGAACAAAACAAAGAGTTGGAAGGATTGAAACAGGTCTTAGGACAATTGTACGTAAATTTTTTTACATTGATAAATTCTGGTGAATAAATTTTTTATTAATTCTTTTTCTTTACGTTTATCTTTTATATAGGCAAATGTCACATCCTCAACAATTATTGTTAGAAGCAGACCCAGTAAATATTATTTAAAAAATACATTTTTATTAAAAAATAATTTTTTAATTCATTATTACTTACTTTTCACATCTATATAATAGGCTACAGCGATGACGATAGCGCCACAACACCCGAGAGACACCCTTGTACATACATTTGTGGTTAAACCATTGGTTAATACTATTGTATATTCGGCAAGGATCACTACATCAGTCATGTACGCAGTCTACGTAAGGCCTTTTGTAGGTTTGGTGAAGGTTGTTAGAGGGTAAAGAATAATGTGGGCACACATATTTGAAAATGATTTAAAGAAGGAAATTTTCCAAGTCTAAAAACTAAACAGATTTCTGGAATGAAAATCTGTTTAATATCAAAAGCATGAAGTTAAAAATATTACATAATTTAGTTCTTTTAGTTAGTTGTCTTTACATTTCAAGAAAAAAATTCGTTTTTTTTCATTACATTATTTATATTTCAATTTTAATTTCAAAAAACATCTCTTTTTTAGTTTAAGGCATTGGTAACGAAATTTTATTATTTATTTTTTTGTACATAGTTTCTACCATTTGTTTTTTCTTTCCACGCCTTGTAATGTATTAGCGTTTTTTATATGACAATTGTTTTTAAGACGCGACCATTATAATCGTAAGGCGGATACTTGAAAAAGATTTTGTAATATTAACGGATCCTCTTTTTTTTTTTTCTGTACATTAGCTGATTTTTTTTTTACCGTGATTCTTTGGTAGCTTCGAAATTTCCTCCTTTTTTTCCTCTTTTCTTTTATGATACATTAAAATTTTAAGATTATGCTGGCTCTATTTATAATGACCCCTTATCAATGTTTGGGATTATTATTTTTTATTTACAGTCGTCCTCCCATACAATCACACAGTTGGGCACATAGTAACTTTTTTTTAAAATGTGCTTATAGAGGAGTTG